CAAGAACAAATTGTTAAATTGTATCTTAAATATGTTTTATCACATACATATCGGTAATAAAATGTACACAGGGACAAATTGGAAAACCATAGACATTATTACATGACCTTCATAATTTTAGATTCTCCTAATTTAATTTATCTAACGTGCTTTGAATTGTTTTTATTTGTTTTTTTGTCACTTATTTTATTTTGCTTTCATTTACTAATTTGAGGTGAGGTCTTTCCATGCTATTATTGTAATTTTCTACTTTCTTTAATTCAAATTGAATTTATTAAAAAAAATATAAATATTGATATAATCTTACTCAATTTAATGACTAAAAAATATAAAAGACTATAGATCGGTGTTTCACAATATTTGTTTGTTCAGTGTTTTTTATGTATAAATATTGTATCACATATATAAAATTCTATTACACTAATTTAATGATTTTAAATCATAGTATTTGTTTAATTTTTTATAAAAAAATATTTATTTTATTTTATTTTTTCTTTCATTTACTAATTTAGTGGAGAATCAACTGTTACGAAACTACTACAGATTATAATCTATAGATTTTTTTTGGTGAAATGTAACCTATAAACTTTTATTGGTGAAATGACCTATAGATTGTTACCGTTATTTTGATAATGTATGCAACTATTTCTTCTACTTTCGTTTTAACATGTAAAACCCTTGAAGATAGAAACAAAAATATATTTAATCCTAAAAATATTATATATATTTTTTCTCAAAAAATAATTTTTATTTATTTATTTAATTCTCAAACAAATAATAAAGCAAACTTTTACAATAATACATATCAAAATTATTATTTTACTCATAATAAAATCATATTCAATCTATATATAACTAATTTTCAAAAATCAAATTGTATAAAATTAAATAAATTAAAATATTTAAATATTTATATATATATATATATATATATATATATATATATATATATATATATATATATATATATATATATATATATATATATATATATATATATATATATATATATATATATATATATATATATATATATATATATATATATATATATATATATATATATATATATATATATATATATATATATATATATATATATATATATATATATATATATATATATATATATATATATATATATATATATATATATATATATATATATATATATATATATATATATATATATATATATCAAACATGTGCAACGCACGAGATTTCTGCCTTTTAAGAATAAAATAATAATCTTAAAAAAATATAAAAACTTAATAGTTTAAATGTTGGTGTGATAAAATATTATAATCATTTTATTCTATGTTAGTATTAAAATAGGTATAACTCTATGTTAGTATTAAAATTTGCTTTCATAACCTTATTTACAAGTTAAATTTTTGTATACAATTATACATTAATGTCATCATTTTTTAATTAATAGTTATGCAGCAATATATACAATATTGTTTTACATTTTAAAAATTAAATTTATTCCAATATTTTAAAGACATGTGGTAGATTATTTTAAAAAAATATAATATTTATAAAATATAACTATAACTATAATTTATTAGATAAAAACTATAATGTATTTATAATAATTTTTTTAAATAAAAATAGTCTCTTACATATATAATATGAAGAAGTAAAATTTGAATATATTTTTATTCAAATTGCATACAATATATTTTTATATGCAAATAAAAAATTAAATATCAATTATTATTAAAAATATATAATTTTATTTCTAATATACCCGTGGAAAGTACGAGTCGGCAATCAATTATAATGAAGGATAATCCTTATGGTCACGCTAAGAGTCTTTAAATCATAAAATAAAGAAACCCTAACAAGTCTTATAGACCTTTAATACAAAATATAATTAAATAAAACAAATAAAATAGAAATTACTTAAATATTAAAATAAAATTGCTTAAATATTAAAATGCTTTCTGACAAGTGATTTCTTCTTCAATACGCGCAACCAATCTTCCTACATCATGAATTCACCTTCCTTCTATAACTAACACAAACATGAAAATAATGAGTATCAACACCCATTTTCTTTAACCTCACTTGATCTCTAACATTGAAAAACTTGTGTGTACTTCCTTTTAAGTAATTTCTATATCTTCTAAAACAACATCTTCCTCACTTCTACCCCAAAACTTAAAATAACATGATCTTCACATTTGAGATCAAGGTCATCAATAACCCTGTCAACCTCTCAATCTTTTGATCCGCTTCACCATATATTTCTTTATTTCATACTTTGCTTACAAACTTTAGGTCCTTTAAACCTTTCTTTAAGAATAAACCTCATCCATTAAGGATTAAGCTTCCCACACTCCATAAATCAAAGTTGCAAAATAATTATTATTTAGTCCATAGTTGTTGAAGCTGCCCACATTCAACAAATCAAAAAGTTGCAAAATATTTATTATTATTCCATAGCTGTTGAATTTAAAAGATTTACGACTCCAATCATTAGAGTTATAACAAATTATCAATAGACAAAGATATGTCACATCCTCTCAACAAACCACTAAAAAATTAAAATCGCCCACCCAATTCCACAAACTTAAAAAAACCATTTTGGACATAGGATTGAATCTCACAATCTTTCATTTAACTGGACATCATACATAACATATACATTTAGAACACTCACCCTTTTATACTCTTTCACTAAATCGATATACACTTTCAAAAATCTATCTCCCATGAAAGAGTAGACTTTCAAGACCTTAATACTACCCTAAACAAAAATATTAGACTTTTAAAGCCTTAATACTATCCCAAACAAAAAGAATCTCTCTATTATATATTACCCCTAAAAGTAAGTATGTCTAATTACATCCATGGTTTACCCAAAACCCTTGGAAGAAGGAATTTAACAATGATTCCATTTTTTTGTTTTCTACAAAGTCATAAAATCAATATTTTTCATCCTCACTAAATCTCCATTCCCAACCTTCGACATCTTCCCCTACTCCCCAACCCAAATATATTAAAGGAGCACACAATCATTAATAATTAAGATCTGTTTTCCATTTCATTTTACTTTTTCGATCTCTAACTTCAAACTCCAACAATCTATACTTATCATATGATTTCATTTTTTTTTGAAAAAGCTCAAATTCATTTAGATATTGGTTATGTACATTAATAAATATAGTTCATACAAAAATAGAAGACAAACAAGTAATAAGATGCATTGCTATCCCTTTTTGGATGACAAAATCAATTCTCTTAAAAATTAGATCCATGGACCTATGAGATACAATATTACTATACATAAGTTTTTGAACTCTCTATAAAAGATTCATTATTTCTAGTGCATGGAAACCAAAAATATCAATGACAATGGTATGAAAGCAAGTTAACTGTAAAAACGCGCTTTCTCATGTTTGATCATTTTACTTTAAGTGACTCTGAGGTTTGCCTACATTACAGTAAAATCTCCAGTCCTCAGTCCTACCAGTAGAGAAATTCCAATCAAGTCCAAACATATATATTTTCCTCCGATCCACCTACACTAGAACATCTACTGTCTTAAGTATCGACATTCTCTCATGTGAATCACTCGACAAATTCACAACTGATTCTTTCTTCACAGATACTCCAATCCACCTAAATATATCAAATAGAACATACTTAACAAGGTCATGTCAATAATTAAAATCTAAAAACTTCCTACAATAAATCACATATTTTTTAAATATATCCAAACACATATTGTGATAAACATAACAAACCTCATCAATAAATAATAAAAGAATTATAAAATAATATCTCTTTTAAATATCAAAGTCTTTCATCGCCTCTAACCTCTTTTGACTTGCCTTCCCCTTCACATTCAAGTTTTATATTAATGTCTTTAAATAAATAATCAATTATATTTTTAAACATACAAATAAACTAATTAATAGACCAATATTCATTACTCACACATTTGCAAACAATTTCAAGTTCAACAATAATACAATTATACAACAATATTTGGCTAAGGGCAGCAAATAGACAGTGTAAAGAGCTCCCTTTACATAATCATTTCCCCACCTCAATTATCAATCATATCCAATGAGTATTCATGTTCAATACACAAAGTGTAATCTCAAAACACAATGAAACCTTTGTTCTTACCTTACCATGGTTAAATTAAAATTGTAGTACTATGAAATACCACTCACTATTCATGACATAAGCATGACAGTAATCAGCACTAAAACAGGACCATGTAGTATCGTATCATATCATTTCATTTCATGGCCACTACTCTTTTTCCTCACTCCCCAACCCCACTTCCACCCCCTCTCTCTAATCTCTTCACATTTTTCACACTCTCTTTCATTCTATATTTCTATGATTCACCAAACAAAAACAAAGCAAAACAAAACACAACTCTTTTTCTCTCTCTGACTCCTGACACTGTTTCACAACCCGACAAAACCAACCTCTTCAAGTGCCTCTCCCTCTAATATTCCCCCTATAACCATAACCCCTCTCCTCTCTCTCTTTCTCTCTTAAGCTGTTTTAAGTTCCCTTCATCTTCAAGCCTCGCACACAGAACAAACCACACAAAATCTCTCTCAACGCAACACCTTACACTGACCCAACAAGTCCCATCTCTCTCTAACGCATTCATCTCTCCAAAGTTCTTTCCTTTTTCAAATGGGCAAGATTGTTCTATCTCTCAACAAACTCGAATCTCGTGGCATAGTGTAGAGAAAAGCTCTTTACTTTACTTTCTCTCTCTAGAATTTGTTCAACCGGAGAATGGCATGCAGGAAACTGAACACCGTTAACTTGGATCCAAACAGAAAGAGAAGTGGAGGGTTGAGAACCAAGCAAGCTGGAAGAGGATCCAGCCGTGGTAGTAAGGATTTTGAAAATGCATGGTCAACAACTTTGACTCTTACCCTTTTTTTTCTCCCTGTTTGTGAGTGCTATTGTTACTTCAATTAGGTCTGAAAAAAGTGATTTTTTTGAGGATTCCCAAGATGGGTTTTTTGTTGAAAGAAGTTTTGAAGACTTTGTGTGGTAGGAATCAGTGGTCTTATGCTGTGTTCTGGAAGATTGGTTGCAACAATTCTAAGTAAGTTTGAAAAGTGATTCTGTGTTTTTCTTTCTTTGGTGTTTTTACAGTGTTTTGTTTTGTTTTTCTAGTTAAGGGTAATTGGAATGTTTTGGGGATGATAATTAAATTGTTCCAAATTAGCTTTTGATTGAATGTTAATGATTATACATGCATGTTTGAATTCACATTAGATTCAATTTCTGGGGTTGATTTGTTTCACCTGATATGATTGACAGTTTGAGGTGTTACTGATTAGTCACTGCTTCTGCTTCCTTGGATTTGATTTGTATTTGTCTTGTGCTGAATATTTGTTTTTAGTTTGGAATTTTGTGTTTTGAAAGCTTCTGTTTTGTCTTCAAGAATCTTATAATATTTGTTTATTCAAAAAAATTATATCAGTGATTCTGTAAAGGATTCTGCTAATTCAGAATTTGTCTTGTTTGATTCTATTTGGACTTATTTTCCAGTTACAAATTGCTGAGCTTTTTTTCTTCAGCTAATCCGGATTTGATCTGTGGTCCATCTTTGTCATACTAACCACTGTTGTGATTTGTTACTTTCTTTGTTCTTCTCAATCTTTTATTGAGCATGGTTTGATTTTGCAGGCTATTGATTTGGGAAGAATGTTATTATGAACCATTTTCACATCCTTCCGCTCATGGTATTGTTGGGATGTCAAATGTGCGTAATCCGAACGAGGAAGGATGTTGGTTTTCTTCTGAGTTTCAATCATCTCATCAAGGAATTCAAGAGGAGGATAGAGTCTCTTCTTTGATTAACAAATTGAGCGTAAATAATTTAGTCGTTGTTGCAGGTGAAGGGTAGGTACTTCACCATGTTTTTGACTATTTTCATCTGTTTTTATGTTGTTTCATTGGTACTCACGTGCTGCGTTTTGCTGTTATTCAGTATAATTGGACGCACTGCGTTTACCAATAGTCATCAGTGGATTCTCTTGAATAGTTTTGCTAAAGATGCATATCCACCTGAGGTGTGAAACTTTTTTGTTGTGATTATCATTAAGTTTTTGAACTTCATTTCGGTTTCTTATACTTGTGCTGTTTTTAGGTATATGCTGAAATGCATCTCCAATTTTCAGCTGGAATGCAGGTTTGTGATTTTCATTTTGCTCCACTTTTTGTTCTAGGCTTTTCATTGCGGTTTCGTAATTACTGTATTGTGTTGTTTTTGCAGACAGTAGCAGTTATTCCAGTGCTTCCTCATGGGGTTGTTCAACTTGGTTCTTTCTTGCCTGTAAGTCCCTTTTTCTTTTACAATTTTTCTTCTGTAAGTTCGGTTCGATAAAGCGTAGTTCGGTTTTGCGTACAGGTAGTTGCGATTCGGTAAAAACCATTAACAGTTTGGTTCAGTATTCGTTCTTGAACCGAATTACGAATAGTCATAGACCTGAGTGATGTCATTATGTGATTCCCTGATGACGATTTGAGTTGGTTGGTCTAGAATTGGTTTTTGTTTTGTCATTCGAGTATATTATTAATCTCATGAATGTTATCCACATCAATGTTAATGGTACAGATAATGGAGAATATGGGGTTTGTGTACGAAGTAAAGAGCCTGATTTTGCAACTGGGATGTATTCCTAATGCCCTTCTATCCGAGGACTATTCAGATAAATTTTCAAATGAAAGACTCGATGGACGCGCTACTTCTGGTGTGCCTATGTCAGTTGATTCGTCAGTCATTACCTCGAATTCCACTCCTTCCATAGTTAATGGCTCCAATCACCGAAGTTATTCATCTCACTCACTTTATCCGTTAAGGGGTGAAAATAATAATCGTCAGGACAGGGTTGTTGTGGCTGAAGTAATACCTTCGAATTTTGATTCAAGCCGGCACCAGCATTCCGTTTCATATAATGCAGGATCTGAATTCAATAACTTAGCTGGTTCTGTGCCGTTTGGCCAGTCAGGGCCAAGTGGTTACATTAAACCTCGTGTTAATGTGTCAAGTTCCGTAAACATTTCTCAACTAAAAACAGATAGAAGCCATAATATGGGTTCTAGCAGTACTTCATTACTAAGAGGAATCCCAGTACATGGTGGAATGAATAGTTTTTTGAGGACTCAAGAATGTTCTGATCAGAAGATTCTTCCCGAAATTTCCAAGTTTTCTTCAACAGATCAAAAGATAGACTCTAACATGCTTCAGACTCCTAACATTCCCTGTTTTAACATTGACGAGCATGTGCCGAATAGTCGTCATATCCCAGGTTTTGTCCGTGATTGCATTCAAAAAGACGGTACGGGTCAATCTTTGATGAATCCTAAACACGAAGAAGCTTGTGCTCAACATTCATCAGGTGGTGACGACTTGTTTGATATTTTAGGCGTCGATTTTAAAAATGAACTTCTGAAAGGACACTGGAATGAACTGTTTGCTGATGAACCAGATGGTAATGCTGAAAATATGGTTAAAAAGGAAACATGTATGAACGTAGAAGGTTCAAATTCTGATTTTTATTCGGTTAACAAATCAATGTCGGAAAGTGGCATTTTCTCCGGGATGTCAACAGACAACCTCTTGGATGCTGTGGTCTCAAAGGCCAAACCGACTTTGAAACAGAATTCCGATGACTTGTCTTGCAGAACAACTTTGACCGGGAATAGTACCGCCTCTATTCCCTCTCCTCTTGGCAGGAAGTTTATGTCCAGTAATTTCCAAGGGGGTTTGTTTGATATATCTAAGAATGAAGGCAAAACGGGTGTTTTAGAAACTAGTTCTCTGAAGTCTGGTTGTAGCAAGGACGATGTGGGAAACTGTTCTCAAACTACTACTCTATGTGGTTCTCAACTTAGTTCATGGTTGGAGAATGGAGGCAATCTGAAGGGCGGAAATAGTGTTTCAACTGGATACTCTAAGCGCCCGAATGAAGCTTGCAAATCTAATCGCAAAAGGCTTAAACCAGGAGAGAATCCAAGGCCTCGACCCAAAGATCGCCAAATGATTCAAGACCGTGTCAAAGAGTTACGAGAGATTGTTCCAAATGGAGGAAAAGTAATTTTCTCTCTTATATCTTGTCTCATTCCAGAACTTTCAAAAGAAATTAAATATATTTGGTTACTGATTTTTTATTTTTGTTTCATCTATTTGTTATGATTTAACAGTGTAGTATAGATGCACTGCTGGAACGGACCATAAAGCATATGCTTTTCTTGCAAAGTGTGACAAAGCATGCAGACAAGCTGAAAAAGACCGGGGAGTCTAAGGTATGGAAATATTCGCTCTTGTCTCTCAAATCTTTCAAAATATATCTAGTTATGGTATATGGATAAGGAAAGTGTTTATTTTCACAACAAATGCACGCATGCAGGCACACATTTATTAGCCTTTTGAGTTCTCGTTCTTATTAATGTAGATTATTAGTAAGGAAGGTGGATTGGTTTTGAAAGACAACTTTGAGGGAGGAGCTACATGGGCATATGAGGTTGGCTCCCAATCAATGGTTTGTCCGATTATAGTCGAAGATTTGAATACACATCGTCAGATGCTAGTGGAGGTAAAGATGATGCTTTATATATACATATAAAGTTCTTTGGTCCTAACTTCGTCGCCTCTATAATCGGTTTGCTTGGTTATATTCTTACAGATGCTTTGCGAGGAACGAGGTTTCTTTCTGGAAATTGCCGACTTAATCAGAGGATTAGGCTTAACCATCTTGAAAGGGGTAATGGAAGCTCACAATGATAAAATCTGGGCACGTTTTGTTGTCGAGGTAATGCTCCATAAAAACCAAATATGACTAAACCAAACAAAACCTTGTCCCTTATCACCTAAAATACATACTGGTTTAATTTGCAGGCAAACCGGGACGTAACAAGGATGGAAATATTTATGTCGCTCGTACGTCTTCTGGAGCAAACGATGAAGGGAAATGCGTCTTCATCCAATGCCATTGATGACATGTTAGGTTACAACTCTTTACCCCAGAAGGGCTAACAGTATAAAAGCAATCACTTGTTACATGGTTTCTTTCAAGTATGGATGTGTTGAGAGCAGGTTCAGCAATGCTTGCCATGACCAAACATCAAGTCCATTCCAAGATTTCAGGTGGTCTTAACATTTTCTAACTGTTTCTCTTTTACATATCATATATGAAATTTTCATATATGAATCCATTTTGAAGGGGAATGAGTGTTTAGGTAGTGAAAACCATAACGATAACCGTGTGTTTATTTCTCTGGTGTTGACCAACGTATAGTGTATCATGTGTTGGCGCTGTTATCTTCGGATGTTTTTTACTTCACTCTCTCGGATGACATGCATGCATCCATTTTTTTAGCGCGATGGCCGGAATGTGTATAGATAGATAGACATTGAAGGGTATGGAAAGAAAAGGTTCATCATGTGTTTGTTTTAGCAGTGCACTTTTTCTTTTGTTGCTCTTGTAGTTTTTGTTGTAACTCGGGGTTGCGAATTGGGACCTGTTATTACATTACAGGTAAAAATGTAAGCTCTTAAGTGTGGTTTGTATGTTATTGGAATTAATATGAAGTGACACTCACATTGGTATTCATTTATATATATGTTCACTTATGTTTTGAATTTGGAATCAAGTGCTTCAGAAGTTGTTTGAGTTATTGATTACTACAGTACATTAAATGAGTGTCTGTTTTCATGTTGGATTTGAAACGTGCAAACATGCAATAAATATCTGTTTGGTTCCATGTTTTGTGGCCACATACGCGAGTGTACGAAGTTAATACAGAAGATGATGAAACAAAATCATTCGTAAGATGATGAAACAAAATTGTGTTGAGTTTCCATCAAAATATCTGTTTATTATTTTGCACAATAAAAATATTGTCAAGAGAATTACACTTTATGTGTGTCAAACACGAGACATGATGAATGGTGGTGGGTAGGAGCCTCAGCAACTAGACCAACACAACATTTTGTGAAATTTCTGAACGTTATTTATATATAACTGTTCACAAAAACTATTTATATATACAATTTTTTTAATAAATAAAGATATTTGTTAGTCATAAAAACATTGGTTCTATTAATGTCACTCTTTGTAAAAAAATTCTAAAACAATACAAGCTTAGTTTGAAATGAGCATTGATGAGAGAGTTGAAGTCCTTTGAAATACAAATAAACTAATGCAACGATGGAGTCTATGTTCTTCAGATTAAATACACAAGCTTTTGAAGAAGTTTAAGTTGGATGACTGCAAAATAATGAATACTCCTATGCATCCAACCTGCAATCTAAACAAAGAGGAAAACAACACGAAAGTTTGTCAGAAGCTGTACATAGGTATGATAGGTTCCTTACTTTATTTAACTGCTTCTAGACCTTATATTTTATTCAGGGTGTGTTTGTGTGTTAGATTTCAACCAGGTCCTAGACAAACTCACTTAACTGCTGTCAAGAGGATCTTAAGGTATATGAAGGAAACAACTAATTTAGGATTGCTTTATAAGAAATCACTAGATTATAATCTAGTTGGATTTGTGATGCTGACTATGCTGAGGATAAAATTGAGAGAAAATTCACTAGTGGAAACTGTCAATTCATATGTGAAAATCTTATATCCTAGGCTAGTAAGAGACAAACAAATATTGTTTTGTCTATAGCAAAAGCATAATACATCTCAGCTGCTAGTTATTGCACAAAACTCCTCTAGAAAAATATCAGTTGGAAGATTATCAGATTTGTGGAAGCAATATTTCCATATTTTGTGATAATACTACTACTATCTGTTTGACAAAGAATCCTATTCAACATTCCAGAATCAAGCACATAGAAATGAAACATCATTTTATTAGAGATTATATTCAGAAAGGTGTAATAGATATACAGTTCATTGATACGATAATTAATGGGCTGATATATTTATCAAGTCTCTTACTATAGAAAGATTTGATTTTATTAAAAAGAATATGAATATGCATTTTGTTCAAGAATAATGTTAGTTTTTGAATGAAGGATCAGAGTTCGATGATGATCATAAGCTACTGTGTTCAGAAATTCTAAATTAGATTCTAATAAATAGTAGACTCTAAAGCATCTCAGTCTCTGATGTTTAGAATCTGATTAATTGTCTCTGATAATATATAAGTGGAAATCTCTTTCAAAATCTTTTTATCTTCTGTCCACTTATATGAAAAGTCATAGGACTTATTGGTCTTTTATCTGTTGGATTTTCTTATCCTTCATATTTTGTTGTTATATTTGATCTTTGATCTATGATCTACATTAATGCCTTAACTCAATAGTAATATGTTTGAATTAACTTTGGAGATTTTTATGTTCTCTGATAAAATAAAATATGCTCTTGCTATCCTTAAATCAAAGTTTTCTCAAATATTTTCCATTCGTTTTTTAAAATGTTTTAAATTTTGGCTGTAATGATTGAAAACTGTTTTAAGACCTCTCTATCAGTGAATCAATAAAAATATGTTAGTGACAAGAGTATCAAAATCAGAAGCTATGAGAAAAGGATATGTTTTATTGATCAAAGAAAATGAGTACAAGATTCATAATCATTTTTGAAGACAGCAAATGCATTACAAAGGCTACACCTCTCATACTTGGTCTTCATTCCAATCATAAGTCATGAGGAAAGTCCTTCAGTCTTCATCCCATTCCTCATCAGTTGAATCCGTCTTCTTCTTGGGTTTCTTCATGTCTGTTGATCAATGTATTTGAATACACAATCTTTTACCTTGTGCTAAGATTTATATATGACTTCTCACATTATTTTAATTTCTTTTAATATATTTTTGAAAGTTAAGTTGAGTTCTGCTTATTTACTGAATAAGTGTTTATTTTCAGCTTAAATAGTTAATTGGTGCCTTCTCGTTATATATGTATAATTTGGACTATGGGATGCCGTTTTACACGTTCTAATATGCGTTAGAAATCTGAGAGGATAAACTACAAATTTTATGTTGAAGTCAAAAGCTAATTCAGAGTGCAGAAGGATCGAATAACTTGTTTTATCTCCAGACTTAATAAAATAATTAGTTATTGGGTCGAATTTTATGTTTTTCGGGTCAGATGCTATTAGGGCCTGATTTACCTTGTAATATTTAACCAAAAAACACAACTTATTTCATTATTATGAATTTTCACGAAAAAGAGGAAGCTTTTACGATTTACATGGAAAACTAAACCTCTAGGCGGATCTGCCTTATCTAGGTTCCAAAACTTTGAGATTATTATAATTTTTTGCAATTCAATTTCTATTCCTTTCAATTCTGTTATGTGATTATCGTTTTCTTAATTCGATTTTCATAGATTAGTTTTGATTTCATTTGATTGATATATGTTCTCTAATCTTAATCGCACTTAACTCACCTTATTTGTTAATTTTCCTTATCTCTAACTTATGCTTAATTCGGTAAACAAGAACATAATTCTTATAGTGACTTTCGTGCTTGTTGATTGATATTGTGATCAAATAGGAATAGAGAACACATTTAGAGAATTTAAGTTATAATAATTGATGATAAGTAGGAACCGAATCACTATATCAATTTATTAATCATAATTGTAATCAAATTCGTTTAATCGTTTATCATCTTCTTAATCGAAACTGAAACCCTCCATTGTTACAATCAATCAGTTACATGTCACCGAAGTTCTTCCTACCCTTGATGCTCTAGTGGATGTGTGATCGGTCACCATTTTCACTATGTTTTTGTCACTTGTCAGACGACAATCCAAGTATTTTGCACCGCTTTGTTTCATATTTTGTTATAGTTTTCGTCGATTTTATGTTTATTAAATTTCTTCAGCATTTTATGGTATTTAGTTTATTTCAAGTAATTTTGCGTGTCGTGCTTTGGTTAGTTGTTGTGACTATTCCAGGTCCATGTGAAAGATCCAAGGTACTCAGTGCGAGGAAGTCAAGAAATCAGAAGTTTTACAGAAGAAAAAATGCAGTTTCAGGAGGCCTGACACGTCCACCCATGTCACCTGACACGGGCCGTGTCAGGTGGGAAGCGCTGGATGAGAAGGAAAGTCAAGGGGATGACACGGCCACCCGTGTCAACAGATTTAAAAGATCAAGTTTTATGAAGTTACAAGAGAGCCAACACGCCCCCCGTGTCAGTTGACATGGGCCGTGTTGGCCAATGCGTTGATTTTTCATGTTTTGTGATTTTTCCACTGCTGTGAGCTGGAAGGGGGTTTTTGACATTTCGGACCGGAACCAAGAGTTTTGCACTATTTGAGACAGTTTCTACGACAAAGAAATGGGACTTTTTGCATACGAGAGAATTGAGACGCTTGAAGATTGAAGCTTATGCAAGTGTTGAGGAACGAAGACTTTTAATGAGCGAAAACAATTGAAGATCTAAGTTCACCATAAATTGTAGTGTCTATCTTTATTGTATTTGAAATTATTTTGAACAATATTATGAGTAGCTAAACCCCCAATTCTAGGGGGTGTGCCTGTTTTGAAATTGTAATGATTTTGAATTCTTGATTTGAATATAACAATTTATTTTCAATTTAATTGTTCAATGTTCTAAGGCTCTCCCTACCGGACAAATATGGATTGATTCACGGTTAACAATTAGGGCTGGACCGCCATTGTTAAGGTTTTTGTATGATTAAACTATAGAAGATATCACCTAGGACTAGGGATACCCTATAGTTACTGGTAAAATCTTGATAAAATTAATGCTTTGTTTCATCATAATTCTCTAAGGACCTAGGTATTAGGATGAATGGCCAAAGGTTTTCCCACTAAGGACTTAGGAGAAAACATACTAAAGATCTGGTAATTGAAGGTTATGAACTTGTTGAAGAAATCAAGAGTCAAGTTTATTACAGGGAAAATTACACACCTTACCCTAGCATTTGCTCATACTTGTGAAAAAGCCAAATTTTACATTCTGCTTATTTTAATTATTGTTAAGGATAAAATTCCAAATTAAACCAAAAGTTAAGTTTTTGTTTAATTGAATAACAATTCAACTCGA